CCACGTGGCTCTCCTGGGTCTGGAGTGGTCTCCCAGGGCCCCCCACGTGGCTCTCCTGGGTCTGGAGTGGTCTCTGCTCAGGGAAGGCAGAGCAGTATGGCGACTCTGATCGTCTCTTGATCTTTCCTGGGAGAGGACCTGGGACTCTGACCATGGCCCCCGGGGGGCTGGGACTCATCTCTGCTGCCCACATGTTGCCCTCATTTCCTGTCCAGGTGCTGTGGGGTGAACGCCCACAGAAGTGGTGGGATGAGGGCCCCTCAGGCCCCTAGGAGGGAGCACATGCCCCAAACCAATTCCCAGGCAGAGGAGGCAGCAGGCAGAGGCAGGATGGGCCAGGCGTGGACAGCAGGGCACAGCACCTCCCCCCAGCTGAGGGCATGAAGCTGGGCGAGCCCTCCCGGGGCCTACAGGGCCGGGCTCCAGCTGGACAGCTGGGCACTGACTCCCAGTAGAGCCTCCCCCCGAGGCCTAGAACACATGGTTCTCCCAGAGCGGAGGGTCCTGTGCACCCCAGCTGCTGGAGGATGGCGGCCTCTCAGCTCTGGTGGGCAGCTGCTTCCTCTCTCCATTAATGGCCATGAAGACTCTTCCTGTGTCCACTCCCACATGCTGACAGGCGTGTCCCCATCTGCACGTGTGGGTCCAGGGCCGATGGCAGGGAGCCTTCTAAGACCAGGCCCCCGGGACGCCAGCCGGTGGCGAAGGTCCTCCTCCGTGGCTCCAGGGTCTCCTCGGCAACACTAGTTAGGAAGCAGACCACGCAGGCTCGTGGCTGGGGAGCAGCTCGGGGCACACCCAGCCGGGGAACCCGTTCTGTCCGCTGCCCTTACACAGAACACAGGGAGAGCTGGGAAAGAGCATTGCTGAATTTGAACAAAGAAGGAGAGCTGACCAGCATGGTCAGGCCGCCAGACGTCCAGCTCCAGTCAGCTCTCCCAAGCCCTTGCGCTGGAGTGCAGCGTCTCCTGCGGAGGGGGAGGTGGCAGTGCCTTGCTGACTGCTGCCTACACTGTGCATGAGGCGGCCCTGGGAGAAGCGCCCACGTCACAGGCTGCAGTGCCAGGGAAAGGCTCGTGGGCACCAACCACTGAGAGAGTGTCGGGAGGAAAGGAGGTTCCGTTGGCCTGGGGCTGCAGGACAAGCCAGGCAAGACAGGCCAGACCTCATGGAGGGGACCCTGGGAGGCCAGTGTGAGCACTGGACAAGGGGTAGGGGTGCTCGGCATTCCGTGGGCTCGCCAAGACCTCTGCGAAGCCAGCCTTGTAGGCGGGCTCCAGGGACGCCAGGCCCAGCGGAAATGCTCCCATGACCCCACAGAAGGCCACTCAGGGCCAATGGAACTCAGTCTTTCATGGAAACCGACAACCCAGCTGCAAAGCTCATATGCAAGGCTCGTAGCCAGTCAGTGTCGAGGGAGGTACAGGGCTGGCGCTGCCAGCGCCAGGGCACGTGTGCGTGAACCACAGTGATTGAACCAGAGTGATTTGGGGTGCAAGACTTCATGATTCTCCAGGGTCTGTAGGTCCAGAGTCAGGTCCATGACGGACAAACATGCAATGCAAGGGGGTGACGGACAGCTTCCTCCAGATCCCACTGCATGGGGTTGAAGCAGCCAGCCCAGTCCACACCGTCCTGCTAGCTTCCTGGTGGGAACCTCAGTCCCTGACAGGTGCCGGGTGGCTCCCTGGGCGTCGGATGCACTTAATGTGCTAAGGACATGATGAAGCAGCTGGCCATGAAGGGCCCGTGTGATGGGGTCGCTGTAACTCTTCCCAGGGCCTTTGCCCTGCTCTGGTACAGTGCTGCGTTCAGTCCTGCCTTTGAAGAGGAGCTCTCTGAAGCTGAGTGGGTGTGAAGGGAGAGAAATGGATACTCACGGTGGTAGTAATGACTTGCCAAGCGATTGCACGTCCAGAAGCTGATGCTGGGGAAACCTTCAATGGTGGAGAATTCCCCTCTTGCCCACGAGTGCACCCAGGTGCCCAGGCGGGGCCACCTGGGGCTCCGCGGCTCAGGAAGGCAAGTTCACGAAGCTCCCAGAGCCACTGGAGCCATGGGTGTGTCCAGGGCGTACGGCACAGAGAGGGGCAGCAGAGGCCTGGGCTTCCCAGAAGCCTCCCTGGGGCCTCTTCCATGGGAGGAGGTACAGGGCCAGTGTGCAGTCCCAGCAGACCCCATGGGACCAGTGCCCTGGGCAGTCCTGACCCTTCTCCTTCCTCTGCTGGTCTGCATTTTCAAAACACTCTGGCCAGTGTGCTTCTTTAACAGACCATGAGCTTTAAAGGGTGGCTCCTAGGGCAAGGCCAGTGCCAGCCCCAAGACCCTCCGCACCTCAGCGTGGCTGTCCACCTGGCAGCCAGGAGGGCACTGGTCTGCCTCCAGCCAGAGACACCAGGCCCACACGCTCTCATCCCGGCCACGCCTGGGCACTGGCCTCGGGCCGTGGACCCTGAGGGAGATCTCCTGCATTCCACCTGGAAAAGCCAGGAGCGCGAGGCAGCGGGAGACCATCCTCGGGCCCTGGGAGACGGCGGGTCCTGCAGTGGCTGCCGGAGCCCTGAGGGAACGTGGGCCGGCGTCCCAGCTGGGGATGTCAGCGACCCCCCAGGTCAGCTGCCAAGGTCAGCAGTGCCGCTCTGCACAGGGCTGTGTGGCTGCTGCACCTCTGTGGCCACGTGAAGAGAGCAGGTGATGGCCAGGAGGCTCAGCTGTCTGACCGACAGGCTTCTGAGGTGTGGGTCTGATGGCCAAGGGACTAACACTGTCAGGCCTGGTCAGCTGCACGCCCCTCCACCCCCGGCTCTCAGGGGAGCCACTGTCTGTGGTGGCTCCTTGGCAAAGTGTATCTGGGATGGAATCAGCCCGGGGCCACCTGGACACAGGTTGAGAAGACCAGGGGTTCTAGCTCTGTCGAGAACCGGCGTGATCGAGACTGAGAAGTGGCGTCACCTTGCCAGCACTGCGCCCTGACTCTGCCGAGGTCCTCGGGCTCCGGCACCCTGTGCGGGGACTCAGAGGCCTGGGCACTTCCTGGGCTGATGGTGAGTTGGCCATTCCAGGAAGGCCAGCTCCCACCCTCAGACTGGGGCCAAGTGATGGAGACCCCACGCCAGCGGGAGGTGGACCGTCCCCCCCCAGGTGCATCTCAGGTCCCACAGGCTTACCTCCCCCGTGGGTCTGGCACAGGTACGGAAACCTCCATATGTTACCCAGCCCCACGGCAAACCCAATGCAGCTCAAGAGGTACTGGAACTTGCTGTCCCAGCGGGGCCTCTCGTCCTCACAGCTGTCTACCAGCGGACCTGGGCTTGGGGCCTGGGCCATGCTGCCAGTCTCCCAGGGTGCAGGTGCAGAGTGGGTGCCTCCCTGGACACCAGCCCGGGCACAGCTGGCTGGAGCTCAGCTGGAACTTGGAGACGGAATCGTCCCTCCTCGGGGACGTGGGCCCATTTATTTCAAGGAGCCCAGTTAATTGGTAACTTGGGCTGGCTCCTGGTGACTGTGCCGGCTGTCCCCATGGCCCGCATCCCCCAGCCCCATGAATGGCTTGGCCTGCTGCCAGCGTAGTGGCCTCTGCTCCGGGGACTGCAGGACTCCCACGGCAGGGCACACTTGGTCTTTGGAAACGATTCACTATGTGACTGTGGCTGTGCTTTTGAGGTAGGTGTCGACTCAGTGGGTGAGAAAACACACTGAGGACCCTGCACAGCTCTGCTTCCTGCACGTCACTTCTCCAGAGCTTGCCACGGGCAAGGACGTGGCGCCTGGGGTCTGGGAGGGCCACATGCCACCATTGTCACCACGTGCCCATGCTCGGCCCTTGTGGCCCCTGTCCTGGCATTGCCTCCTCACCTAGGAGGCTCTGTGAGTGGCACCTGCAGAGCCTGGGGCCAGCTGTTCTGCCCAGCATGACCAGGACTCTGCAGATGGCCCGGGGCATCTCCTTGGTCCTCTTCTCCCTGGTGCTCCTCAGAAGATTCCCTGCCTCCTGCCTCCCCTCTCCTGCACCCTGCATGTCCTGGCCAAGCCCCACCAGCCCTCCCGGGGCAGCAAGGGGTCCCCAGACCAGTGTCTGTCCAGCCCACTGGGCTACCAGGTCCCACACTCCAGGGGCCACAGCAGAGAGGCTTCTTTCAGAATGAGCCCGAACCATCCCCTGGGCCCAGAGGTGGGCCAGACTCGCTAGCTGCACCTCCAAGTGCTGTGACCCCCCTCGGCCTTGGCCACAGCCCAGCTCCAGCCTCCGTGTCTGACAGCAGCTCTTGAGCCAGGGGTATTAAACAGGCCTGCTTTATTCCACAACCCCACACAGAAGCCATCAGAGAGCTGCCCAGGAGACACCACAGACGTCCGAGACCCCACGGGGCCTCCGGGACACCGTGGGCAGTGCACTGGTGGGTATGGATCCATCAACGGCTTCCCAGTCGGAGGTTGTGGGGAGAGGGGACCAGATGGGACCCTCCATCTTCTTGGGCTGAGCTTCCGGGGCATGTCACCAGGCCTGGGGCAGAGCCTGGGCCCCTGGGTCCCCCTGATTTGGTAGATTTCTGCAGATCACAGTCCCAGGTGGCCAGCTGGATGATGGAGAGTGCCTGGTAAGAGGACTTGGGTGTGCAGGGTCGCGTGGCTGGAGCTGGAGTCTGGTGGGGAGTGACGTGGAGTGTCTCTGAGCTGGAGGAACATGGTGCCAGGCCCCCCAGGACCTCCCACACTGGCCGAGAGAATCCTCAGGAAGTTTTTTCCATGAAAAGCGGAGGCAGCCAGCTTGCTGAAGCAAACATCCAAAGTGGGAAGTGCCTCCGGCTGAGATGAGGGAGAGGTCCAGGGTGACACCCACCACGGGGCAAACGCAGGCGCCGACCCCGGGCTCCCCGAGCGACATAGGGTGGACAAAGTGCCCAGGACTCTCAGAGTGCCCTCAACCACAGTGCTCAGGCCAAGTTACCCTTTGACCTTTCTCCTCCAGCGTCTGGCTAAAAATTCACGGGGTTAACGTCCCTTAAGAACACACAAGGTGGCTCCTGCTGCGGTTTGGCCGGGCTGAGCTCCGCTGAGCTGCCCATTGAGCTGTGCAGCCAGCAGCAATGATTAAACGGTCAGTCCCCCAGCCAGGCCCGCAGCCTCGCCCACCCATGCCCCTCACACTTCTCCTTGAAGAGCAAAAGGGCCCACACCTTTCCCTCAGGGGCCGTTGGTCCAGGGCAGCCAGCAGTGTGGGGTGGGCAGCGGGGACAATTCCAAGGAGACCAGCCGGCGGCTCACGCTCTGTCTCCTGCCTCGCAACAGAGGGAGCATAGCAACTTGGCCTCCCTCACCTGGGTCTTGGACTCTTCACAGGGCAGTGCAGGTCAGGCAAGTCCTGAGCCAGGTCTGCCCCAGGCCACAGTCCATGCCCCACCACCATGTCCACATGAGGGACAGTGCATACGGTGGCCAGGCCTGAAAAGGGGCACGTGTCAGGAACATGTAAACACATACATTTTCACACATATGTGCAATAAGCACATGTATGCATACAGGAATAGGCACAGGCACACACTTGTGAGTTGGGTACAGGTGTATACAATTCACGCACACTTAGGTGCATATGTACAAATATCTGTGTGCACAATACACAGGCCCACATACACTCATATATACATAACCCACATCATACAGACACATTTTACACCCAAACACACACACCTGCATATGCATGTGCACACATATCTGCAACATAATGTTCATGTTCACCTGCATGTGTGTGCACAACTTATATCCACAGACATATACACACCTTCATGCACACACACATATGCTCACACATAAACATTTACACGTGTGTAAAACGTGTGCTTATGCACACGTACAGGCATGCATACACTACCATGCGTGTACACACAAACATGTGCTTGGGTATATATACATGCACAACACACACATATTCACACATATACTTACACACTCAGACACATACGTGTTTATATGCATTCTAACATACACACCACACACTTTGCACCTGTACATGTGTGTACCCCTGCATGTATGCATGAACACACTTGGACAACACATATGTACACACCCATGCATTCATGCACACGCACACTGCAGCCCTGCCACCTCAAGGTCCTGTGGCTCCTTTCCTCCCGACACTATCGGCTGCAGACTATGGGCTGGGCCCACTCAGGACTTGAGTTCTCCGTTCACAGAGGCTGTGGACAGTGTGCTGACCAGCCCTTGCTGGTCACCTGGCCTCCGCCAATGGTTTCTGATGATCTTGTAGAAGGCGATGCAGGGAATGGTGAGGCACGGCACCCCAGCCACAATGGTCACCACGGCGTACACCCAGCCTGGGTAGGCCACCTGCTGGGACTGGGGAAACTTGTCCTGCAAGAGGGCCACACAGGGTGAGCAACCCAGAAGGCAAAGGCACTCTGACCCCACGGTGCTCGCCTGCTGCTCGGCGGCAGGGGGACGCCCGCCTTCCTCCAGCACTGCCTCCCCCTGCCCATGGGGAACTTGGCAGCTGCCCCGTTGCCGGCTGGGCACTCACGTAGCTAGGGTCCCAGACGTTGTACGTGAGCTCTTTGTTGACCTGGATCACGAAGTAGAAGAGGAAGATGACCAACATGATTATGGGGCTGACCACTCTCCACATGAGCTGCCAGAAGATGTTGGGCTTGTGGCCAATCATGAACTCGATGTCCCGGTTGAACCTGCAGCAGGACAGGAGGGGTGACCTCCATGAGTCCACCAGGATGCAGCTTATCGAGGCCCAAGGCTGTCCAGTCCTGCTGCCTGGACGTGGCATGTCCTGGAGGCCACGCCCTGGCATCCCTCAGCAAAGCTCCACCCTGTGTGCAGGCAAAGCTCTGCCTCTTGTCGGAGGAGACTCTGGCCAGAGGAGCCACCTGCCAACCCGTGTGCCCAGAGGCCTCACTGCCTGGGATGCCATCAGCAGCTCTGTCAGAGGTTCCTGTCCTCGCCACGTGCTGGTGACCACAGAGGGCCAGTGCTCCAGGGGAGCAGAGCAGGGAGGGCCAGAGCTCCAGGGGAGCAGAGCAGAGGCAGCCGTGAGACTTGTCCCCTCCGCTCCTCCTGACACAGGTACAGGGTCAGCTCTGAGGCTGGACAGTGCCCATCATGACCTGCCCTGGGGCTTGAAACTGTCCTATGCCCAGCTTTCTGCACAAAGGGTTTACTTTCCTTAGAAATCAGGATGGACAGGTGGAACAAAGGCGTGAGCCTGCCTGGGGTCTCTGAGACTTGGTCTTGGGCCCGCTGGGGGCCTTTGGAAGCCCAGCCCTGCAGCCCATCCACCTGGCACCTGCCTCCTACCATCCACAGACCTGGAGGCAGCAGAGATCAGTCTGCATGTCCTTCACAGCCACCAAGCTGGGGCGTGTGGCTAATTCCACAGGCTCTGCTTAAAACACCCTTGTGACTTTGAAACCCCCTGTGGCCACCTGGTCTTCCTCAGCCTGGCCCTGCTGCCCTTGGCTGCTGCAGCCTGGTCCTCACGCAGGCTAACGAAGCCCTGTCCAGGTACCCTGTGGACTGCTGTGTGTCATGATTCAGAACAGGTCTCCCAAAGCAGGAGCCCCAGCAGAGGGTGGCACTTGCTGAACTTGGCCACCCACAAGGGCCCTGCCTCCCGCAGTCCTGTGCAGCAGTGGGGGATGATGAAGAGAGGCAGGGCAGGTGTGCAGCCACGGGCCTGTGGGTCCGGGGGGCTGCCTGCCTGCCTGCCCGCCCTGAGAAGGCTGGAGTGCTGCTCCCCCACACCAGGAGCGTCCCTGGCCGTGGACAGGGAGTGGTGTGCAGCCCCAGCTCCCTGCCCAGGACACGGCTGAGGCCAGGCCTGACTGAGCAGGAAGCTCCTGCTGCTCTCAGATGTGCCCCATCCTGTGATTTTGTGCCTGCCCTTGAGCCCCAGGGGCTATTTCAGGGTCCCCAACGGAGCGTCTTGCTCATGCAGTGTACCCAGGCTGAGCTGCGATTCCCTGGTGGCTGCTGCTGCGTTTTCTCTCCCACACTGTCACCACACATGGGTCCCTGCACTGCTGCTCAGCCCTGTTTGCACAGTGATGTCCAGTGTCATCGGGAGCTGGAGGGCTTGGACTGCTTCCAAATGGGAATCAAAGTGCCACCTCCGCCAGGCTCAGCCCCATGCTGCTGCCTCTCTCGGTCCATGCAGCAAGGCCAGGACCAGGTGAGGCCTGCTCCTCTGAAGGCCATCGACACTCGGGCCACATGGCAGCAGAGGCCTGAGCCACAGCACCCCGTCTCCCCTGAGCCCAGCAGGAGCTCTCCTGGACTGAGCTCATCTGTTAGACGCGGCTGTCCCCGGTGCTCCACCTCCGGCCTACCTGTCCACGCCGTACACGTAGACAACAGCAAACATCTCACAGAAGGCGATGATCAGCAGGGGAATGGAGCCGGCGTAGCTGTCCATCAGGGACAGCCAGTACTGGCCGGAGTTCAGCGTGAAGACGAAGGCGATGAGGTACATGCCCAAGCAGATGACGCCTGTGGGCCGGTGGGCGCAGAGCCATGGTCACGGGGCAGGACCCACCGGGGACGGTCTCCCCTGAGGGCGCCACCCCCTGGGTGCCCACACACCTGTGAGCAGCTCCTTGGGCCACTTTTTGGGGATAAGCCTGAGATCCTGCAGGGGCACCACCACACCCTCCATGTTCCCGAACATGGAGGACAGGCCCAGGCAGAAGAGCATGAGGAAGAAGAGCACGGACCACAGCGGGGACACTGGCATCCTGGTGATGGCCTCGGTGAAGACGATGAAGGCCAGGCCCGTGCCCTCCACACCCTGCACAGCGGCACATGGTCACAGGCCACACCAGGCACCTGGTGACCTGTGTTCCCCAGGCCCACACCAAGAAAGGGCTGGGCACTCGGGGTCATCTGGTGAAATGGGTCCATCTGTCTTCTGGGCCCAACTCGCTTTTTAAGAAGCTCAACTATGCGTTATGACCGGTGGGCGGGTCCCACCTCCCAGCAGCGGTCAGAACCCCATGTGGCCAGGATGACAGTCATGGCCACTAGGGGCGTCTGCAGGGGGCTCTCCCTGTGCTGGGCTCAGAGGGCTGCAGACAGGCCCGTGAGCGGGTCACAGGCACACACCCTGACAGTGCTGTGAGGTCAGCAGGCCAGGCACAGTGGGCCCTGCGGGTGTGCGCCGAGGCCATGCCACCGTCCCGGAGGCCGGCTGTCCGGGCAGGGGCATCAGGAGAGAAACCTTGGCTCCACCAGGAGCCATCCTCTGGAAGTCCGTGGGACACCAGGGAGCCTCAGGACCCTCTGCCCTAGCTAGTTCTGTGACTCCTGCTCCCAATGTGACATTTTAACCAGTGGCCACAGCAGTGCCAGGCCCTGAAAATGACCTGCTCCTCCAAAGCACAGGCTGGCTTCCAACTGGAAAACTGCAAGGTCAGACACAGTCACCTTGGGCCACCCTTAGAGAGCAGTAGATTTCCCTAGGTGTTCAAATGTTGTTCACCAGCTCCATTACTAAGGTCTCCTGGCTTCCTGACGGCTGAGGGTCAGAAGTGTGGTGCTGGCCGCCTGGTAACTCTCCATCTTTACAGAAGGAGTCTGCAGGGAGCCCTAGGTGTTCAAGGTCAGGGACTGGGGCTGGCGCAGAGTGGGCTCCGCGTGCCCGGAGGGGCTCTGAACCGCGTGGAGCCCCCCAGGACCCACCCACCTCGGAGAGGAAGGAGTTCATGTCGCAGTTCTGGAAGCTCAGCTGCGCGTAGGCGACGGGATTTGTGGCGTTGCACCAGCGCTGCATGTCTGCGAAGTTCTCCTGGGTCACGTTGCCCTCGGGCAGGTCGAACCCGTTGACGAGGGTCAGGATGTTCCTGCAGGAGAGAGGAGGCTGATGCATGCCCCGATGGCCCCGGGGGGGGGGCGTGGGTGAAAGGGTGGGCACAGCCCTGGAGGGGCCCGCAGGGCCCTGTGGGAGCGAGGGCGGTGGTGGGGATGCACTCACGTGCTGAAGCAGTCGTCGTAGCGCTCGGTGGCCCGGAAGCCGATGATGGAGTAGACCACGGTGGCCGCATACACGGACGTGAAGCCGTTGATGATGGACACGATCACAGAGTCCATCTCACAGTTGTTGCTGTGGACGAGAGTGGTGCCTGCAGGCCCGGCATGGCTGGTGTGTGGGCGAGGATGCACCCGCCCAGAGTCGGGCAGTGTGGAGGCCCCACCATGTCCAGTCCTGAGGCTGCGCCCTGCCCTGGGTTGGGAGCCCCTGAGCCCACTGTCCTCTGGTGTGTGGGCATTTCAGACTCAAGAGTGGCCCAAGGGCTGGGTCTCCACCCCAAGCACATGGCTGGTGGACCTCACTCTTGATCTTCTTACCACGTTAGGAGACCACACACCTTCCCCCACGGGTGGCTCTGGAGCCCCACAGCCTGGGGACACCTGGACGAGCTCTCACCTCGGGCCCAGAGATCTCTGGGCTCCAAGCCCAGCCCAGCTCAGGCAGGGGACAGTTGGCTCAGAGTAAGGGCAGGCCCTGGGCCTCCACCCCAGCAGGCAAGGCCCAAGCCTCTGGAAATGGCAAGCCAGGGCCTCCCTGCCCACACCCTCCTTGCCCCAGACCTAGAGGGATGGGTGGCTTGGTTTGGGTTGTAGGTTCTTATTTGCAATTTTGAGAGGGATTCACTTCCCAGATGCCAGGACTGGGCGGACCCCAGGCCTGGGTGGACCCCCTCCCAGGGGGGAAGGAGGAGCTGGAAGGCTCTGTCTGGGACTTGTCCTCTGAGCCCTGGGCCTCCTGACATGATGGATGTCACCCAGGGTGCAGCAGGGGCGGTCCCAGCAGGGGTCCCCGGTGGAGTTTAGTCTGTGGAGGGTCTGCAGGGTTCGTGCTGCCCAGGTAGCTGGAGGGCCACAGAGCTGGGTAGTCCTGGCCCCAGAGGAGTGGGAGGTGTGGCCACCTGCGGCCTCAGCTTAGGGCCCCTCAGGGCTGCGAACTTCCTCCCAGTCCTCACCACCGCAGTGACCTCACTCAGCCTCCGCTGAGCCTCCACACTGACTGTCCCAGCAGATGGCACCAGCTCCCTCCCTCCAGAGGCTTCTGTCAGAGGCAGAGTGAGCTGGGTCCTGAGGCAAGAGGACGGTAAGTTCAAGGTCAACCTGGGCCGCTTAGAGGGGCCTTTCAAACTAAATAAAAAGGGCTGGTGGCGTAGCTCAGTGGGTGATCACCCTGCGTCCAACCCCAGTACCAACGGTGACGGCAATAACCCAGTAATAAAGTAAAAAGGGCTGTGGAGACCAGAGGCGGAGCGCCTGTGGGCACACGTGGGCCAGTCCAGCCCCCAGTCCCAGGCCCCCAGGCAGCATGTGAGCCATCAGGGCTGCAGATGTGTCCACAGTGGGCACGGCCCCGCACCGCTGGGGTGGCCCTGCGCATAGGAACTGAGGGGCCGAGCTCAGAGCTGGCAGTGGCCAGGCGACAGGCAGAGCCCTATCCAGCAGCGCCGCCCCTCAGGGTCCACACCTGTGTGCTGGTGCTCACAGCAGCCAAGAAGTGGAAACAGCCCGATGTCCCGGCTAACAAGTGGACAGGCAGGCTGTGCCCTGTCCACCACCACGCAGTCAGCCATGCCAGGAAGGAAGCAGGGTGCCCGCTTCACAGGGAGCTCCGTGCAGCCGGAGCAGCACAGCCAGGCCGAAAGCCACCAGGGCTGGCCCCAGGGACTTGGGAGTGACCGCTGGGGGGTCGGGTATCTCTGGTGAGTTGAGAACGTCTGGTCCTGGAGGGGCCGCTGCCCACTATGGTGTCCTCAGCGCTGAGCTGGGCACCAGCGTGAACTGTGTGGGGGCGTCTGAAGCCGGGGGAGCTCCGCTGGCTCCGCTGCGGCAGGCCTGTCCCCTTCCACCCCTCCCCACGGCTCCAGAGGGGGCTTTCTGAAGCCCAGGACCTGGCCCACGCGGTGACACTGTACAGAGTCTTGGGTCGAGCTCAGGGCAACACTGCCCACCCTACCTGCTCCATGGCTGGTACCTGGTGCCCCTCCTGCAGGGCCCAGAAGCCCTCTGTCCATGCTGACCCTGGCCGCCTACCAGCCCTACCTCCCCGGTCACCATGCCCTCCTGTCAGTCCCTCCTTCCCAGAAGGCACCCCTGCCTGCCTGGCCTCTGTGCCACCTCTGTTCAACCTCGGCTGCCTGGCCAAGCCTGCAGGTCCACCTGCCCACAGAAGGCCGTCCTGCCCTGCCCCTGCTGCCTCCTTCCCGCCCCCACCTCCACTCATCACCAAGACACATTTGCTGATCGCTTGGCTCAACCCTGGCCCACCAGGCTTCACCCAGGATGGCCCTGTCACACAGTACGTGCTTGTCCCCCCACCCACAGGTCAGCAAGGATGACCCCGATGCACAGCAGGTACTTGTCCCACTCACCCACCTCAGTTCACTGAGGATGGCTCTGACACACAGTAGGTGCTTGTCTCCCCACCCAGTGAGGATCACTGGGGCCATCCACGGTAGGTGCTCCACAGCGCCCCCTGTGTTCTCCTAGGCCCTCAGGGAGGCTCTGCCTGCAGGACCCCACCAGGTCTGGGGTGCCAAGGAGTGAGCAGGGACCGCGTGGGTGTGGAGGTGGGGGCCGAGGAGAGGGAGCACACAGAGACCAGGCAGCGGAGCTCGTTGGGGCCCGGCTGCAGGAACACCCCGGGCATCCCTTCCAGGTGCCCAGCCAGTGGGCTGTGAAGGGGGCCGGGCTTTGCCAAGCAGCTCTGTTCTCCCCTCCCGTGCTCACAACGGAACTGCACTTGGTCAGCAGGAAACAGGCCCAGGCCCTCAGTGCCCTGCTCTGCGGAACCCGCCTGCCCCACACTCACTGCACAGAGTTGTAGCTGGAGAAGGAGATGAGGCCTCCGAAGGCCAGCGAGAAGGAGTAGAACACCTGGGCGCCCGCGTCCAGCCAGGTGGTGGGGTTGGCCAGCTCCGTGACCTGCTCCGACAGAGACCGCGGCTCACCCACCAGGCCCAGAACAAAGGAGGGCGGCCGGGGAGGAGACCCGAGCCTCGGTGGTGGGCCAGGGAGGGAGGCCGCCTGGGCTGGTGGTGACTGGTGGTCAGGATGGACGCTGTCCACCACAGGGAGCAGCTGGTTCCTCCCCTGACTGGGGCCACTATTCCACACAGAGGGGCAACCTCCAGCTCACCAGTGCCCCCACCCTGCACAGCCGCAGGAGGGCCTGCAGACAGGACTCCCGCTGGGCCCTCGTTGACCCTCCTAGACTTGGGACTGGCCAGGTTGCAGCTGGCCAGCAGCCCGGGAGCTGGTCTTAAGGCCAGGAGGACACAGAGTTGGGGAGAGCCTAACCCAGCATGGACCTCCCCAGAGGATCTGGAGAGGGTGGACAGCAGGAACTCACGTTGGGCGTGAACAGGAAGACGATGCCGTTGGTGGCACCCTTCAGCGTCAGGCCGCGGATGAGGAAGATGGTCAGTACAATGTAGGGCAGCGTGGAGGTGATGTAGACAGCCTGCATGGGCAGAGGGCACACGGGTCAGGCCGGGACGAGGGCAGGGCTGGCAGGCAGGAAGCCTTCCCAGCTGAGGATGGTGGCCCTTCTCTGTCTTCCGCTAGGCCTGGTGTCACTTAACGCTTCCACCCGGGGAGACGGGATGACTCTGTGTGCAGAGCGCAGTGCGGGGCTGGACCCTGGGCCTCATGATGCTGGGCCAGCTCCACGCTGGGCCGTGCCTCAGCCTGCGTGGGACGATTCAAGGGCCTGTCTTGAGAGCATCTTGGCCAGCCCGTGTGGCAAACCTGGGGCAGAGGCTCCCCAGAGGACATGAGGACCAGGTGAGCTGGTCAGTGGCTCAGGTGTGGGCCCCGTTCCCGGAGGCAGCAGCCTGGACACACCCATACCTTCCCCGTGGTCTCAATGCCACGGATGGTGCACACGTACAGCACGCTCCAGGCACAGGTCAGGGAGAGCAGGATCCACCACTGGATGGAGCCCGAGTCGCTGATGGAGGTGGAGATGTTGAGGGTCTCTCGGTACCAGAAGTAGTCCACGGAGGAGCTCTTGGCACACTCCTCCACGTAGCCTGCGAGGGCAAGCCAGGCGCACACCTCAGGGCTGGGCCACCAGGGGGAGACGCGTGGGAGAAGGGCCACCAAGGCCCCACATGTGCCCGGAGGCATGAGCGTGTTGGGGACACGCGCCTGACTGTGGCCTGTGCTGCTTCTTGCTGCCCCAGCTCCTGGGGGCACATGCTCAGCTGGCAGGAGGTTGGGGTCTTGGATGCCCTGGCCAGGTCCACACCCGTGACTGCCCTGCTCTCAGGCCCCCGAGGGTTGGGGAACACACACAGGCACCCGTGGTGGAGACATGCGGGGCCCTAGGTGTGAAGGAGCTGGTCCTCTGGACATCCCGCCAGGCCACGCCTGGAGCCTGGAGACCCAGCAGTTCCCGGGTCTCTGTCCGTGGGGCCCTGAAGGCTCTGGTTTCTAAGTGACCTGTGGCTCCGAGGCGCTCTTTCAACAACCAGGTCAGTGGCACCCGGGTGGCCATGCACGGAGTCCCGTCACTCCCGGGGGGCCAGGTGGGGGGGCGCTGGCTCCGCCAGCCTCACCTGTGTGGTTCCCGTTGAGCGGGCACTGGCTCCACGGCAGGGGCTCCTGGAAGGAGTTGAAGAAGTACCACATGACCAGGGCGATGATGGTGTTGTAGTACAGACCCACCATGAAGGACACGAACATGGAGGCGATGCCTGCAGGAAGGGGTGGCTGAGGCTCAGGGCAGCTGCCCCCGCGGAGGGCCTCCCGACAGGGCACTCGCCAGCGGAGGGGCAGGAGCAGTCCCCCAGGCCCACCCACACCAGGGGCAGGCGGATGGGGAAGGCTGTCTGTGGAGCTCCTAGGGCAGTGGTCCAGTGCCTGGGACGATGGGGCAGGACCACAGGGTGTCATGTGTGCACTTAGAATGTGTGTGTGAGAGGGATGGGGGACCGCCGGGGACGGGGGAGGGACGGGGGACAGATGGGGATGGGAGGGACGGGGGACTGACGGGTACAGGAGGGCTGGGAGAGGCCAGGGCTAGGGGAAGGAGCTCTGGATTCCAGGGCAGGGTGTGGGTAGTGGAGCTGGTTGGGCCTCAGACCTCAGGGCAGGCCCCACCTGGACTCAGAGTCCCTTTCCTAGTGGACCCTGACCCTTTCTCTCCAAGCTCAACAATTTTTTGGTGCCTACCCATGTCCTGAGGTCCCAGTGAACTGTGGACCTCTTGGTGAGAACACGCTGGGGCCAGCCCTGGGTCAGAGTTTGTAAATGAGTGACCACACCTGGGGCTGGGGTCAGTGCTGGGGGACTCCTGGCTGAGTCTGTGGAAGTAGGCCGAGAGCAGGCAGCTAGTGCCCTCTGCTGGCCTACTCTGGGCAGGCAGGGGTCATTCTGCTGTCCTCTGAGTCTAGAGCCTCCGGGGACCAGGAGCGTCCAGCCCTGACCCTGCCATCTACACTCCTGGAGGCTCCAGCAGAGGGTTTCTGAAGGCCTCTGAGAGGGGTGACCCTGGGATCCCTCTCCACCTGGGGACACTTGGAGGACCGGGCCCAGTCCCTGGCCCAGGAGGGGCCACACCAAACACGCACCTACGCCCTTGAGGGCCGGGTGGATGGAGCTCCACACGCCCACACTGCCCTTCCGCAGCCGCTGGCCGATGGCGAACTCCAGGTAGAGCAGGGGCATGCCCTCCACCACCAGCAGGATGAGGAACGGGATCATGAAGGCTCCTGCAAGGGCAGAGCCGGTGTCAGGACGCAGGCCCGCGGGGGCCCTGGGGAGGAGCCCAGGGACAGTGCTGCAGAGCATCGAGGTGGGTGGGAGGGCGGACCTGAGCTGAGATGGAGCAGTGAGTCACGGACCAGGGTCGGGTGCACTGCCTGCTCCTGAAGGGCCACTGGGAAGCAGGCATCCCCACCCTCACACAGACCGACCGGCTCCACCTGTCCCCTGGGGGTGTGGTCGCTGGACCAGCTGCCGCTGGGAACACCGAACACCTGCGGTGTGGGGACTCCTAGCCAGGGCCAGTTGGCCCCCAGAGCTCTGCGAACAGGCCATCTGCCCTGAAGGGGCCCCTGCCAGCCCCTGCTGATGTCCAGCCCGCACCTGTGCTGCAAGTGGGCTTCCAGCAGCACCTGGGAGCTAGTGAAGGTGTCCAGGGAGCTGGGCAGAGGGGGTCACTGAGCCGCTGGGGAGGTGAGGACAGCGTGGGATGAGTGTGGGAGGAGCAGCAGGCGCCAGCCTGGGCTACAGAGGCGCTGGGTGCGCTCAGCAGGGTCTGTGAGGGGGCTCAGGGGCCCTGCAGGGGGCGTGGACCCTATGGGCTTTACCTGCTTGTCCCAGGGCCCAGTGAGAAGCGTGGGTCAGGATGCAGCACCACCCTGGGGCTGAGCCGGCCTGCACCTGAACCTGGATGCTACCCTCATTACCAAATTGTCCCCACCTGAGGGAGAATGGATCGCCTCCCCCCTGGCTGGGTGTGGGAACCCCCCCAGGGGCCCTCTCAGGCCGGGAGCAGCTGGCTGTGACAGGGAGCAGCTGGATTGTGCTCAGGACACAACCCACTGCCCAAGTACAGCCTCAGAGCCAAACACAAGGCTGCCCGAGACCAGGTGTGGGCCAGCCCCAGGCCACTTCCCTGAACGCTGGGCACCAGCATTGACCTGCGACTGTCCTGCCAGGTCCCCTGGCGTCATGTACAGCTAAAGAATGACAGATGTGAGCCACCCACCCTCAAAACCTGCCCTCCTTGGCCTGGTGTCCTAGGCTCAGGTGACAAGACCCACCCCAGAAGGACACCCAGATCCCAACATCTGGCCAGAACACCCCCTGGGAGCAGCCTGGCCCTCTGGGCAGAGCCAGGCCCCTGTCGGGCAGGGACAGCATCCTCCAGACTGACAGATGGACAGAGAGACAATGAGAGGCAGAGCCAGGCTTCCTCGGTTCCAATGAGGCCCTTGGGGGTCCCTGC